TCCCTTGGTCTCCGGTTACCCTCACAACCTCGTCCCATACTACCTCTACCTTTGCCTCCCCTTACTACAGACAGCCAAATGAACTTCTTTGGAGCTCTTTCAACCAAAGCTATTGTCCCTTTAAGGTTTTTGCACTGCCTTTCCCTTGTCCAGGAGTGTTCTTCCTTCTCACATCACAGTGCTGAGCACTGGGCATCATTTGAATCTTGGTTTACGTGTGATCTCCTTAGCACACCTATCTAAAGTGGTCATCAAATCATTCTCTTATCATACCCGTTTTAATTTTCTGCCCAACACTTACCACCACCTGACATTTTTCTTGCTCACTTTTCTGTTTGTTGCCTTTCTCCATTCATTGTTAATTCATTCACTATTATTTAGTACCTGCTTGGTGCTGGTTACTGAGGATACAGCAGTAAAGATAGTCTCTAGCCTTGTGGATAGGCAATCAACAAATATGTAGATAACACATCAGATAATGATAAAATTATCTAAATAGAGTTAAAGGGATAGACAATGATGAGGGGTGCTCATCATACAGTGACAAGGAAGGCCTCTCCAATATGTGTCATTTGAGCAGAACTCCAAAGACATGTAAACTCCAAGGGAACCTAGTTTCATTTATCACAATATTCGTAGCAAGTCGATGTATACCTGGCATATTATAGTTAGTTAGTAAATACTTAAGGATTGAATAAATATGCATACCTCTCTTTTAGCACTTATAATACTACATTACTACTCTGGCTCCCAAACTGGACTTTGAATTTCATCAACAGGAAATGAATCTTCTTTTCCGCCATCCCTAGTACCTAACATAGAATCTGGCTTAGAGTAGGCGTGAGAATGTTTGAAGAATAAAGGATACAGAAAGTAGGGATTAAGATGAACCAGCCAGTCATAATATACTAAGGACACCCTGTAAATGACTGCTTGAGAAGCTGACTTGCACTTCTAAGAATCATGTGAATTTCAACAAGGTATATAAATGATGAGACACAGCAGTATCAGAATTGATAGTGATTCTTTTCTAAAACTAATGTCTTTCAAATCAAACTTTGGAATACTTAAAAGCAAAGAAATAACAGACTTCTCTCACTTTTGTCTGGACCTATCTAGCTGGCTCATGCTATTTGGAGGATACTTGAACAAACTGCAAAGTCCCACAAACCAACACACAGCCGAATCTTGCAGACTCTCAGAAGGTGGATTTGGGCCTTTAGCAAAAACAGACTAACTGAACTGTAACACTGGGCATTTCAGCACATCTCTGTTTGAAAATAAATGAGCATTTCTGAATCACTACCAGACATAGTAATGATGACAAGCAATGAAACCCAACACAGAAGAGGTCACCAACGGCCCACAGCAAAGCAATCCCAAAGGCAGCATGCTCTGTGCAGATACATTCATTCTTTTCTCAAACAGAACTTAAAAGACATAGAAAACTAAGCTCCAGCCATATTTCTTATTGACCAGCCAAGAAAAATGGAAAAATTATGATGTCAAAGATCAGAAATGTAAATCTCTTATTTTTCCCTACCACATGCCATTTAATTGCATTGAAAAGCTTAATCAAGGCTAGATCCAGAAAAAGAAAATTTCTGATGGTGGCAAAAACTGTTTGTTCCTGCCTCTCAGGGGTTTTCCCTCTTACCCCCTTAGTGCTACCCTCCCCCACAACAGTGTCCTGGATGATGAAGGATCCAGGACTTGCCCTCTGCTTGCCTAGGCCCAGGGCATCAGTGTTCTTAGCACCTGGCTGCCACGTCTCTGTTTCTAGAAGATTCCACTGAACTTTCTCCATCTTAAAGCCATTGGGGTTAGACTCTCAATGCCCATTAAGGTGAAAATTAAAAGGCCAACGTGTGTTTTCTAAGTGCTATTTCAAGAATTATTGGTGTTCCTGAGATTACTAGGCCGAAAAAATTGTTCAGTGATTAAAGGAGAGCTTTGAAAACACAGCATACTATATTGTCTACTTGGAAAGTCACAACACACACTGGAATGCTTAAAAGAGTAAAATAAAAAGAAAAATCCCAAATAATTTTCAGTTGGGGGATAGTTAAATGCATTCAGGAACAGTAATCAGCTGTTAAAAAAGGTAATATAGACCACTACATACTATTTCAAAAACATCTCCTAGACATGCTGTTAAGTAAAAACCGAGTCACATTTCTGAACATGACTAATATCCTATTAAAAAACCCAAATCCTATGTGTGCATACATGCTTTTTATGTAATACAGTAAAATATATAAACATTCTAAAAGGATGTATACCAAATTATTAAGAATGATAGCCTCCGGGGAGCATTGGGGGGATGAGGGAGGCTTGTACTTTTTATAGATTTAGATATTATTTGAATTGTTTTATAGCCCTTTTATTACTTTTATAATAAAAAATCAAGTGTGATATTAAAAAAATAGACATAAAATCCAGCAGTACATACATCTGTTTAGCTTTAAGTTTACCCTTCTCAAACTCATGTGATCACTGAGCCTGTTTGTGGAACATTTAGAAACAACTTGTGCCACAACTTTTGAAGTTACTGTGGTCAAAGTTCTCCCATCAGCATATGGGTTTTAACCTTCTGTGACCTTCTGTAAATAAGGGAAGGAGGGAGGAGGGGCCTGGGAGATGATATGGTACAGCCCCCTCATTTCTGAAAGGAAGAGACTAAGACCATGAAAAGTGAGGGGCCTTGGCAAGATCAGCTTGAACCCCTCCATGCTTGTCTACCTTTTTCCACATCATCCCTGCAGTCACCAGGTGACCTAGATGGGCCACGGTCCTTGGATTTCATAAAAAGTCTCCAACACTCAAAGAAATTGTCAGGACTTCCAAGTAAGCCAGGAGCTCCATGTTCTCCCTGCAGGCAAAGGCTGAACAGAATCCTGATGACCCCTGCCCATTGCTCTGTCTTGTTCCACAGCTTTTTAGGAGGAAGTAGGAAGATGTTAATTCCCATCTTTTCCCTCAGGCAGTCAATTGTGATTCTCTTCAATCCCAATAGTACCAATCCCAGCCAACAGACCCAGGGGATGGAAGTAAAACTTGGTACCTACACTTGATAAACTGACTGTCTGGTAGAGGAGAGGGCATGATGGTGGTGTAATAGGCATAGCAGGTGCGCTGACAGGACTGAGTTGCAGGGCACCCCTCATCTCCCTGGGGCCAGACACTGGAGCTGCCACTCAGTGACCTCAAAAGGTTTGACTACAATCTTCACAACCATGTTATAAGGATTTTTGGAGAAAATGACAGAGATAACAGCAGTTAAGCTCATCAAGGAAAGTATGAGTGGTGGGGGTTGGGTGGGGGGCCTCGGGAACAAAGGGACAGGTTAAAATCACAAGCTCTGGGGCATGCTGCCTGTGTTCAGACCATTTCCAGTGTTTCTATGCAGGTCCAACATCTGTGCCTTAGCTTTCTATCTAGGGCGTGGTAACAATAACCTACTAGTTCCTAGGATTTTGGGGGAAAATTAAGATAATGCCTTCAAAGCACTGCGCATACAGTAATAATACTTAGTATTGCTATCAAAGCTATTTGGTCTATAAGTACTAAGGCTGAGAGGCAGTATTATTGACATTTCAAAGGCAAAAAAAAATGATGTGCGCAGGATGGACAAAAGTTATTATATGTCTGTTCACCCAGTCTCAGAAGAGTAGACAGAACTCTTCCTTGTAATGAAATAAACTTGATATTGAACACTTGTTTCAGCTCTTACTGAAGTATGATCTTGGGTGAGCTGCTGAACCTTGGTTTTCTACATAAAACTGGAGGTTAATGTCAATCTTGTGGATTGACTACTGGAATAAAAAATGCAGTTACTTATAAATAAACCTGGCACAGTGCCTGGAACAATAAACGCTGGCTTCTTTCCTTCCTTACCAACAGCTAGCAAGCCAGAGAAGAGGATTAGTGAAACAATAGCATTTAGATGTAGACTTAATGAAAAGAGCATTATGCTTGGATTCAGAGAAGATAAATGGTTAAAATGAGGAATCTAGACTAGAGGATCTTGATTCTGTGATTCTTTAAAGTGACTACCCACAGGGAAGTTCTTTTTTTGTTACATATGGTAGCTCTGATGCCTAATAAATAAGACCTTCAGTAAGTTACTTAACTTTATGTGTTTCCTCTTCTATAAAGTGTAGGTAAAAACTGTATCCACTTCTATTCAGTGAGATAAACAAATAAAGAGTTTACATTTGCCTGGCAGATAGTCACTACTCAATTAATGACAACTATGTTCATTGCCAGGGCCCCTGTAAAGATTAAAAGAGACAAAATATGTAGAAAGCATGGCACAGGTAGTGGTAAAAAACATTATTAATTCTACTACCACTATTGGCTTTACATTATAAATGGCTTTGGCCCAAAGAGACTAGTAAGTGATACATGCTGTCATCCTGATAATGACACATCAAAACAGAGACGACAGGAGATATTAGGATAATTAATCACAGGTCCAACTGGGAATAAAAGCTTTCTGCATCAAACAGCTTTGTTCAGCCCAGACACAGGAGGGGCTCACCCATGGGAAACAGCAGGTGCCGGCTGCATTCTCTGCCCAGCCCTGGGGACCACACACACAGAGGCAGTGTCCCAGTATCCAGGCTTTTCCATGGTTCATCTTACAGAGCAGTAACATAATAATGCCTTGGCCTAGAATGATGTCTTTCTGCCACAAGTTCAAAGCTATCCAGAGAGTATCTCATTCATCTTTGGGATCCTACAGGGATGGGGGTGGGTAGGCAGTGTTGCTAGTCTCTTATAAGGATGAGAACAGACAGCTTAGAAAAATGAAATAGTTTCTCTTTGCTCCAATAGTCTATCACTGCTGAGAGAGGGCCTGCACCCCATGATGGGATCCCCGAGGCCAGCTGTAAGCTCTACTCCTGAAACACCTTGAAGACTGTGTAAATAGTGTGATTTGGGCTAGATGTGGTCCCTTGCCTCCCTCCCAAGACCAGGTTAGTTACAAAGCTCACCTGTCACTGAACTGAACTTCTTCTCCATTCCTGGCCCAGCTGATGGTAGGCCTTGGGTGGCCGACGGCCTCGCAGTGCAGAAGAACACTCAGTGTCCCGCTGGCCAGGGCCACTGTCTGCCCCAGGTGGGTGACCACCTCCGAGGCTGAGAGCTGCTGGGCCGCGGAGATCTTGCGCAGGATGGTGGGCTTGCGGTGCGGCCTGCGAGAGCCGCCCCCGGCATCCCCGGCGGAGGAGGTCCGCAGGGAGCTGCTGAAGCCAGACACGTGTTTATGAGGCGAGACCGCCACGGGGGGAGTCCTGCGCTCCGAGGGCTTCAGAAGTGTGTCCTGGTGCTCCAGGTGGCTGCGGAAGATCTCCTGGGCCAGCTGGGCCACCAGGTGCTTGCTGTAGAGGTCGCGCAGCTCCTCGGGCTGCTGGGAGAGGTTCCTGAGGATGTCGTCCAGGCGCCGCTGCTCGGTCACCACGGTGAAGGGCAGGTGCAGGAGCGCTTGCTCCGCGCCCGAGTCCTCCTCCGAGGTCGCGTTCCTTTCCGCCGACTCCGGCGCCTCCCACGAGGCCAGCAGCTCTCCGCGCCAGCCGCCCTGCTCCAGCAGCCGGGAGACGAGGTCGTCGTAGCGGCTCCCCGGGCTGGCGGCCAGGCCCCGCTTCTCCGCCTTGCTGCCGTTGGAGAAGATCCCGTTCTGGTGTTTGTGGGTCTGCAGGGCCTCCTTCGGGCCGGCCTTCCTCCCCGCGAGCGCCTCCTCCTCACTCCTCGGGCTCAAGGGCCGGGCCACGAGCTTGCGGTTGCCTCCGATGAGCTTAATCACAAAGTGCTCCCGGGCCGGGCCCGCGGAGCAGGTGTAGACCCCCGCATCCGAGGGCTTGAGGCGGTGGATCTTGAGGTAGCCGAAGGGGCCCACCGTGACGTGCGTGGAGCTGATGAGGTGCTGGCCGTCCTTCTCCCAGGTGATGAGGGGCTTGCGGACCCGGCGCGCTGGGCAGCGCAGCACCACTGCCGTCTTGGGGAGCAGGTAGGCGAAGCCCCCCACCACGAAGTGCAGCTTCCTCTGCCTGCGAGTCTGGATGTAGACCTTCCTGGCGGCCGCGATGTGCGGGCTGTGCTTCGTGGACGGCCGCCCGGGCCCTGGAAGGAGAGTGAAGCCGAAGGGACAGAGAAAGGTGGGGAGACAGAAAACCCAGAGTGAGATGCCGCCAGGAAAGAGAGGCAGATGAAAGGGCCAGAGTGAAGAAGAGAGAGAGAGATGGAGGCATCGGAGGGACGGGAGAGAAGGCGTTCTTCAGGGTTTATTTTGGCCAGGGCCATCCTTTACTGCCTGTGTTTTTCAGGAGAACCTCGCGCCCAGCTGTGGACCATCAAGCTGCCACCACAATCAGAACTAATGAGATGCAGTGGGCAACCCAGCGTCTCCCTGCTGGGCCTTGTTGCCCCTAGAAGCTGAGATTCGGAGTTCTAAATGGAGGAGGGAACCCAGGGGAAAGGCACTTTCTCTCATTAAAAGAATTTTTAAACAATAAATTAGCACCATAAAAGATGCAGAGGACAAAGAGGAGAACGTCCTCCTTTAAATGTTTACCTTTTGGGTCCTGCAAGGCACTAGAGCCCTAAAGGACCTGGTGAGGAGAGCCCAGAAGTGTTGCGGCTCTAGGAATTAATAGTAATCAGTTCAAATCTGTTTAGAGTTGTTTAAAACCCCAGAGTGGCTAACGTTAGACATCATTAGTACGATGCTGCCTCCAGCTTCCAGATCTCTGTATGCCAGCGAGTGAACTTTGCTCTACCCCCTGCAAACTGTTTTTCCAGGGGAGGAGAGAATTCGGCCTGGCCACCCGTAATTAAGATTCCTTTTCCGTCTCCAGCTGAGCTCTCCTGCCTGCAGCCCTCCAGGGGGTTCTACTGTCCCACTATTTCCCCCAGGTGTTGGGTTTAGGGAAGGCCACAGCGTATTGGCTATACCTGCTGCTGTTTGGGTTTCATCTCCCCATCCCCCGAGCCCTGACATACTTACTTGCACAGGTTGCCAGCATACAGGGCCTGATGGAGGAAGAGAAAGGCAGGGGCGGGCACAGGGTGGAATTGACAGCAGTTGAGATCCCGGTTTTCAGCACCTTTCGGCAAATAGCACTTCGAGTCTGAGTGCCTTCCCCACAGCTTGTGGAACACTGTCGGAGAAAGAAGGGCCAAATGCACATAAATTCAGGAAACTAGAAGCTAATTTTAAAGTAGACTCTCAAACTCATCAAAATATGAGAAAAGTTGCTTGGAAAAGCAATAGCCACTGAGATAGAAATACAAATTATGAGGTAATGATGTGGAAGACATCCCCATTTTGCAGACATACTGCACTCTAAGATTTTCTACTCTGAGGTTTCCTGAAGACATTTTATCTATTTTACTTATATAGCCTGGGCTTCAGAGTTAGTGAGTTGTAGAGTGTTTAAATCCCAACTCAGTATTTCACTAGTTGGCAAGTTACCTAAATTCTCTGAGTCTGTTCCCATTTATGCTTAGTTTGCAAGTCTGGGAATTAAGTGAGATAATATAGTTTGAATGCCATACATAGAAATGACAATTATTATTAATTCCTTTTCCTTCCTTCACAAATAAATGACAATATTTTCGTGTCAAGAATTACTTAACTGTTAAGAATCTACTTTGTCTAAGTAGTGTGCTGGAAGTTATGAAGAAAAGATGTGCAAGAGAGTTTCTAACCCCAATGAGCTGTCATTCAAATGAGGGGAAAATTCCAATGTTAAAATGAAATAGTTCTTTTGGGAAATCTAAGTCAAAACCACGAGATAACACTTCATAGCCACTAGAACAGCCATCATAAAAAAAAAAAAAAGACAATAGCAAGTGTTGGTGAGGATATGAAAAATTGGCAGTTTCACTCATTACTGGTGGGAAAGTAAAATGATACAGCCACCTTAGAAAACAGATTGGGTTTCTTACAAAGTTAAATGTAAATTTACCATGAGAGGATTGGGTCTCTTCATCGCCGAGAAGCCCCTGAATCGCTTCCTTAACGTAGTTATGGAACACAGTTTTAAAATCCCTGCTCTGGCTTAACTTCCTTAACCAGAGATATAGACATTGAAGCTAGAGAAAGAGCTAGACTTGACCAAAGTCGTAACCCAATCTTCTGACCTGAAACTGTTATTATGTTTCTAGTTAGCAGCCTTCAAACAGCTACCAACGCAACTGCAATTTTATTCCTGGGTATCTACCCAGGAGAGACAAAAACATACATCTACACAAAGACTTGTATGCACATATTCACAGCAGTATGACTCATAATTGAAAATCACCCAATGGCTATCAACTGATGATTAAATAAACAAAACATCCGATATCTCTCCAGGGGAATATTATTCAGCCATTAAAAATATAGTTCTTTTACGTGCTATAACATGCATAAACCTTAAAACATGCTAAGTCAAATTCTATAATGTGTAAATCAGACCTCAATAAAGGTGTTTATAGAATTGTAATTACAGAATTTAGTAAAAATATACAATTAGAAGACCAAGTAGTATAAAAATAATGCTAACAATAATCGAATGCTTATAGTACACTAGACATCTCCTCACCAAGGTCTTGAAGATGGTTGGAATCTGGGTGGGTGTAGAGAAACAGGGATCAGATGGGAGACAGGGAAATATCCAGAAAAAACATAGAAAAGTTCAGTGTAGGAGTCCCAAGGCAGGCATGGGACAGAACAGTTTGACAGAACAGAGGCCTCAAGGTGGAAGTGTCAGGAGATTGAGGGTTAATTTGGAGCCAGACTTTGAAGACCTTTAGTTTTCAGACAAGAGGTTTGTAATTGGTCCATAAGGCAGTGGAAAGCCACTGAAGAGGGGGGTGACGTGATGAAACAGGCGTTGGGAGAGGGTTAATCTGGCAACAGTGTACAGAAGGGATGCAAGCAGGAGATGAATGGAAGGTAGGGCGTCGGGGAAGGAGGCTGTCATCTCCAGGCTTGCGATGATAAAGGCCTGAACAAGGGTTGCGGGAGTGCGTCACGTTAACTTGAAAAATGACAGTAAAAAAAAAAAGAAAAAATGATCTTATATTTTCAAATGTTATATCCTAACATGTTGAAGTGACAGTATTCTGTGTGATGCCACCCTGAAAGATATTTAAGATGCAGAAGATGGAGATGAGAATCAAACCCATTGCTTTTATAGTCTGACAATTATGGGTTCCAGATTCCACATATTCCTTATTTTATTGCAAATGACAGTGCCAAATCCAAGGATCAGATGGGATGGAGGTAAGAAGCCTGAAAAATTTAAAAAGCATAGTTGTTTTGAGGCTGCAAAGTAGAAACATAAAACCAGAGTTTTGGGTCAGAAGATTGGGTTATAACTTTTGTCAAGTCTAGCTCTTTCTCTAGCTTCAAGTTCTGTAACTCTGGAATAAGGAAGTTAAGCTAGAGCAGGGATTTTAAAACTGTATTCCGTAACTATGTTGAGAAAGTAGTAATTCAGGGGCTTCTCAGGTAATGAGGAGACCCAACTGTTGGATAACTGAGATCACTACTCACACTTAAACCAAAACAGCTCTAATTTTATGTTTAAGATTTTTGACTTCATAGTAACATTTCATTTGATAAAGCATTCTGTGGTTTTAGTTTTTTAACAAAGTAATTAGGCTATAGGATCTTTCAAGCTGCTTCTAGCTCTAAAATTGACTATTTTTAAGACATTTTTGGCAGGAGAAGGAGCAACTTCCATAAAATAGGATTTAAAAATATTTAATATCCAAGTCTTTCAGGAGATTGAGGATTTCTTTTAAGGAAAAGAAATATGCCCTTTTGAGAGGTCTTAACTTCAAAAATAGAATCTGTAAGTAATTTTATTTGAAATTGTAAAACTTTGGTTTAATTCCATCTCTGTGGGATTCTGTGCAGTAACTATGAGATTGAGCCCAGATAGTTGAGGATGAAAAACACCCGCAGATCATCTAGGTCTTCCCTTCTCCAAGAGCAGTCTCATGGGAGGTGTGGAATGCACATCTCATCTCAGCCAGGGGGCCAGGGGAATGGTCATGAGGATGACAGGGCCAATGCGGAGCCTTTGTGAACACCTCCAGGAGCGCTTCAATAGGGCACCAGTGTGAGTTTAATCCCAGCGATTCAGGGATTACTTCCCACCATGCCCAGCCCCACCCCAAATGTTTGGAATTTACATTCATTAATCCAGATAGTTCAGAACCTAGTAACATTCCTTGGATAAGAGTTAACTCCTCCCAGTTCCCAAAATATAACATTCTCTTGAGGAAGACCAGGAGAGCCTGTCGGAGACCTCAGGCCCAGCCAGCCACGGTGAGTGCTTCCTTTTATTTCCTTTCCTTCTCATGATAAGTGAGCCCAAATGGAAGAGAATCATGAGGTTCTTTTAGTAGGCACAAAGTATTTTACATGCAATATATATTAAATTTAATTTCTGCCTCCCACATACATGATGGATGCTATTGTATCTCCGTTATACAGATAAGCAACCTAAGACCAAAAAGGTTAAGTAATTAGCTCAAGGTTATATAGCCAGTAAGTGGCAGAGTCAGATTTGGACCTAGGTTTGCCTGTCTTTGAGGAGTCTGGACTCTTAACAACACATTGCACTCTTAACAACACATTGCGCTAGTACTGTTCTGAAGGCCTACGGTACTTAATGGGACCAGTGGGACCTTTTCCTTAGTCCAAAATCTCAAGGGTCCCTCTCAAATCTGCAGGCAGAAAAGAACTTTTTCTGAATCCTCTGTGTCTCATATACTTCAAAGGCCACAAACTCCAGGAACACAGGAAGACAATTATAATACACACAAGCCCCTTCCTCAGCAGCCCACTCATGATGGACTATCAGCTGGTAGGCTTAGGGGAGCAATTCCTTTTATAACACTGCACTGGGAGAATGTTTTCATCTAGAGCCACTTGGCAAATACATCGGTGTTCTTCAAATGCCATATCCCAAATCAACGTTCCCATGGAAAAATTGTCACTAACATGCACGTGCACAAATACAAATATACACATGCTCATTTTATACACTTTTAATCTTTTATCTTGCTGAAATCAAATTTCTTTCCAAAACATGAGAAAATAATTCCCCAAATGTTCTGAGACATTTGGGGTGAGATACCACAGGAAGCAATTTTACTGCCAAATTATAAAACCTCCTGTGGTAACTTAAGTTAACTTTTAATTGCAATGCACGTAGCAGGCACCATCTCATAGACTTCTATGCGGGTTGATAAGATGCGGGCAAGAATTCTAAGAACCTATGTTGAGAGAGCTGGATCTTAATTTTCACAGGCAGCTTTGCCCTCTGTAGGCAAGTATCTCTGTGAGGTATTTCAATCAGCAGCAGCTCCCTCCTGTTGAGTTGTATACTATACAAAAAAAAAGGCAGTGGGGTTAGGAAGGCCCATTCAAATGCTTATATGCTAGAAAAAGGAAAGTCTTAATCTGGTTTTACAGAAATTTTCACTTCAGGTCTAGCGATTCTGTTCTAGGCTAAATCTGCTTGTGAGGCAACAATTTTGGGGGGATTTCTCCATGGAAGACACACAGGCCTATGGAGCTGGAGAATCGAAGGCAACTCAAGGAAGTGATCGTGGCTGAAAACAAATGACTTGAAGCTAGGTGTAAATGAATCAGCAGACACCCGAAATAGAAGAGGCATGATTTAGAAAGATAGGTTAGTTAGAGGTATGTCTCTGACTTAGGAGATAAAGTCACGAATGGTGAATGCTGACACAATCACTTCCCAAAGTGTAGGGCAGCAAGGGAAATCCAATTCTCTTGCTGGGAAGTTGTTGAAGATTTTTAGAGCCAGGAAACTAACAGTAAACAGGCAGGATTTCCTTGGCCTTCTTTTCCTAATAAATCATGTCCTTTATCGTCCAATAACTTGGAAGAGACGTGCTAGAGAGGCTTTGCCCTTCCTGAATAGAGACTAGAAACATCTGGGAGGAGGTACAGGGAGGTCAGGAGGAGGGGTGGTGTGGAGCTAGAAGGAGAAGAACCCAGTGTGTGGAAAACAATTCTGGGCCAAAACAGCACCACCGAGGTCTGGTTTTGTTCCACAAGAAGCCCATTTACAATTCCAAGCTTCCGATTGCCGGGTAAGTGCTGGCTACGTAACTCGGGCCCCTGCAGCCTCGTTAAAAGCTAGTTACACACTATGGTGTATGTGGTTACAAAAATACTGTTCCATAATGTTAGGAGGATTGCTTTGTTTTCTTCTTGCCTTTTCTATGTATATGTTTGCGGTGCCTTCCTTTCCTACCTGGGTGTCTTTTATTCTCTCCCGAGGAACACACGTACCTCTGTCCAGTCCAAGAGAAGCCACTCGCTGGGACAGTCATCTTTCTTGCATGCTTGCTGGGAGGCTGGTTTTGAAGCTGAACAGAAGGTCTCCGGAAGCTCCAGGAAGCTGCCATCAGCCATGCGCTGCTTGCAAAGAACCTCGCGTTTCTGAACACCCCCGCCACACGTTCTGGAACACTGGGGAAGGAAAGACGGAAAGAAAAAAAAGTAGATCCTATATGGGAAGTCAGTTTGTCTAACTGCTAATTCTTACCTTAGTTTGGAAGAGTAAAGGAAAAAGAAAAAAAAAGCAGAAAAAGAAAAAAACCAGGAATTGGTCCAAAGGATTTTGTTTCTTCACTTTGAGGTGAATTTTGTGGCAAGATCTACCCTCTCCACTCTTAATCCCAGGTATTTAACTAGAGTATCCAGGAATTTCTGGGGCCTTTAAATCTTAGAAAGTAGCTCCTGAACTATGATTTGCAGCCCCATCCAAGACAACTGGTTTAAAAGGTTAGTATAATAGAGTGTTCAGCATATTTATGATCCAGGGAAAATCATCTCTGCTGCTTCCAGGATGAACAGGAGAGAGCTCCTGCCATCGGTATAAATCTGGAGAAATTAACTTGCAGAAAAGACAGTCCTTTCGCTAAGTGAAGGCACTCTACCACACTGAATGGGCATCAGATTTAGGGTCTGGTTTTCTTAAGAAGCCCCCTGGAATACTTTTCTTGCAGGATTGATGTTTTCTTAGGGCAGTGGGGGCCAGAGCCACTGAAATTTGGAATGCAAGAAAAATGGCCTCATGTCAGTGGTTTTCAGAGGAACCCCAATAAAGCACATTGCTTACATGTAACTGAATAGTTATGATCCAGGGTCATGAAGCGGGAGGGAGGACCCCTGAAGCACAGACTGTTGGCTATTTTCAAATGTGTATCCCTTCCTTATCAGAGCAAAGGAATCCCCAGCTTTTCACTAGGCATATGACATTTCAGCATAAAGACGATATTTGCCAATCTCCATTGAAGGTACACACAGCCATTTGACTAAATGCTGGCCAATGGGATATAAAGGAAGGGTTGTGTGTGCTTTCAGGGAAGTACCCACAAAGAGAGTGTGGCATCTCTTCCCTTCTTTTTCTCTTCCCTGCTGGCTGGAATGTGAACATGATGTCTGAAATGTAAGCTTTCATCTTGGGCTGTCATAAGCAAAAAATTAGAAATCTGGTTTCCTGACTGTGAAGCCACCATACCCACTCTGGACTGCCTGTGTTTATGTGAGAGAAGAAGACTTTTCTATCCTTTTTTTTTTTTGTACCCCACCCCCTCTCAACTTTCCTATCTTTTTTAAGCCAATGTTTTTTGGGTTTTCTATCACTTTCCGTCGGACGTAACCCTGGCAAAGAGTTCCACCTATGACTACTCTGTGCTGGGGATATTTTATTGTAAAAATCAGAGCCTGCTGATTTCTTCCAGAATAGTCTCTTGTCATGAGCTTGCTGCTTTTGGGCTTGCTGAGAGACCAAGCCTGGGTTTAGAAAGCCTGAGAGTTTGTGCTCAAGGACCTGCTCTGCTGGAGGAGTGCCCCTCTCAGAACCCACGGTGGTCTTTGCTTAGTGAGTTGTACCCAGCATGGCTCTGGGGTTTTTTGCCGGCAGTCAAGATTATGAGGTGATACCAGTGTCCTTGTGTACAGTCAGAACATTACTGCAGCCCAGCTTTCACCTTCTTACTCAGTGGTCTCAACCCTGCATGCACGTCAAGGTCTCCTGGGGAGCTTTGAAAAAGTACGGACGCCTGGGCCTCACTTCAGACCCAGCAAATCAGAAATTCTAGGAGGTGGGTTCCAGGTACCTACAAGCTAGGTCTTATTTCCACTTTACGGAAAAAAAAAAAAAAAGCTGAGGCTCAGAGAGGTAAGCAACCCAGTGAAGGCCACACAGGGGCTAGAATTGGTTTCTTGCTATTTATCACAACATTTACTGAGCTCCTACTGGACACCATGCTCTGGGCACAGCTGGACAACAAGTCCAAACTCAGCTTCCCTCCTCTGTGGAGAGAAGCAACTCCTGTGTGCTTGCAGACCCAGTGTGGAGTAATCTGACTATTGCTTCATGAGGACGGCTCTCAGCCTGATCAGCACTAAGCCTCCCAAGAGCCTGGTCTTACTCTCTCACACACCTGGGCTTTGCAATTCAATTCTTAGCTTTCCCTCCTGCGACTATCCCTGACTGGCAAGAGCCAGCCCATGATTCAGGTTGGGAAGCAGAATTTAAAGTAATTCATCTAAATTCTGGTGACCCTGGAAATATGTTCTCCCTAAACTCTTTGATTTCTGAGAGGCAACATTTGAACAAAGCTATTAGGCGATGCCATGAAGCTAGACCACTTGTCACTTGTCACAGGTCCTACCAGCTCCTTCTAAGGGCTTTTCTAGATTGATTAAGAAAAAAATTTATGGTCTCAGAGCTAATGATTCAAGTGACTGGCCTAAACCTTTGTCTTCTCTGTGGCTCATTTCAGTGACTCTGTGGACTTTTCATGTATTGAAGAAGCAAATTTAAATTTTAGCTCTAATTTAGTAGCGATTTAATAAGACATTAAAGGATTTCACTTCTTTAACTCATTTTGTACCCACACTGCCTAGAATAATGCCTCCTGTGAATGTTATTAATAAAAATTTGTAGCATTGAATTGAAGTTGGTACTTGGGAGAAACTGAAATTAGTGGCTAAGATTTCCATTTAACTAGAATATTCCTCCTGTTGCTATGGATAACTAAGGTTTTAAATTTAGTTTTACAGTCTTTTGCATAATTTTTTAGGTTCGACCTTCTCTTATTGTTGTCAAATTCTCACATCAAACCAACCAGTTATATTATAATCAGATTAGTTATAAACTTTTCTTATTCGTTCATTCTTTTTATAAGTAGACAACCACGTGGATTACTGACTCCTAAGGATTTGCCAAATTTTGCGACTATATTCTCAACAATACTTTCCATTCTGTGAATTACTAAGATTCTTCCATGAACTTTATGTAATTTTTCTGAAACCACAATTGTCAGAAAGAAATAAGTTTGTGCTGATAAATCAACAATTTTAATTTTAAGCTCTGACTTCTCCTCTATGCTTACTCAGCATTTCCACTTAAATACAAATAGGCATCTTGATTTAAACATGCCTAAAATGGAACTTTTAATGCTGCCCCGCCAACCTCATTCCCAACCTACTTCTCTCTCAGTCTTCCCCATTCATTTAATTGTGCCACATCCAGGGCAAAAACTTAAGCCCTCAAGTTTTCCCTTTTTCTTACCACCCTTCCCCTGGCACCCAGTTCTTGGCCAAATAAGATCAGGTTTACTTACAAAACATGTAAGCTGTACTTCTAAAATAAATAATAAATCAGTATACCATAATCCATCATCTCTTGCCTTTTACTGGTGCTTTGGTCTGAAGGTCTGTGTCCTCCCTGCCACTCCCTAAATTCACATGCTGAAATCCCAGTTCCCAAGGTGATAGCATTAGGAGGTGAGAACATGTGGGAGGTGATTAGGTCTTGAGGGTGGAACCCTCAAGAATGGGATGAATATCCTCATACAAGAGGTTCCAGAGAGCTGCCTTGCCCCTTCCATCATGTGAGGACACAGCCAGAGAGCACCATCTATAAACCAGAAAGAGGTTTCTCGCCAGACACTGAAACTTCCAGCACCTTGACCTTGGACTTTCTACCCTCCAGAACTGTGAGAAATAAACTTCTGTCATTGATAAGCTACTCAGCCTATGGTATTTTGTTTTAGCAGCTGGAATGGATTAAGATACAGCGTTTCCAGCAGGCTATAGACGGTACACTCAAATGTGGTCATTTAAAAAGAGCTCCTTCCTCCTGCTGGAAACCCCATATTGTCTTCTCTACACTGTGTTCTCTACACAGTAGCAAGAGTGATGTTTTCAAAGTATAAATGTGAATGCACAATTTCCATGCTTAAAACACTCCAAAGACTTTCCCTTGCAATGAGAAAAAAATCTACACTCCTCTAACCCTGCCCTGCAAACCACTACACATTCTGGTTCCTGCCCTAGTGGAACTTAGACATTGTCTAGCTTAAATCTTTCCAACTTTATTAATTCATTCCACATAAATGTATTAAGTGCCAATCATGAGCCAAGCATGGTTCTATGTAGGGGAATACATAGCAATGAGCAAGAGAAGCGTTGTGCACCTCTGTTTTCTTTTTTGACTCCCTCCTTTCCCTGTATACTCCAGACAGACTTGTTTTTTGTTGTTTTGCCCCTCAAACGGTCAAGCTTGTTTCTCCCACAGAGTCTTTGCATTTGCTCTTCTACCTGCACCATTCTTCTCTTACATCATCATGTGGCTGAGTCTCTTGAATAATCCAGGTTCAATTCCATTCTCAGCTGTGTGGAGAGGCCATCCCTAACCTTCCTACCTAGAGTAGCCAAAGAAGTCTATCCCATTACCTCATTTTATTTTTTAAAATGGCTCTGATACTTTCAGCAATTACCACCCATTTAGACCATTAGCTCTAAGAAGGAAGAGGTTTTGCTTCTGTTGTTGCTCATATTAAGTGTTTGGGAACTTCATTTAAAACTTTTCCCCAGTATGTTCATACATCTTAAATAAAAAGCATTAGGATTGAATTAATCCATCTCTAGTTTTCTTTCTTACACATGCTCTCTTCATTTCCTTCTTTTAAAATTAATGATTTGTTTTCCAGTAAAGAAGTGGTCAGGGTATGAGCTGAATAGAGTGACATTTTATAATAAATTCTGGGAGTATATGATGTTTTGATATGATCCATAAATATTTACACTGTTGAAAATGCAGTGTACTTTTTTCTCTGAGAGAAATAATGGCTGGTTCATAAAACTATTATCTCCTAAACCTCAAAATGACATCAAGCCACTTTTCATTTAATCTTTTGATTATAATTCACACTCAGATTCCTCATGGATCCTACTGAGTCCTTCAGACATAAAAAAACATGCTCTCAAAGTTTCTGTTGCCTAGTGATTGACATTTTTAGGTACTCCACTATTGATGCTGAATTTGTAGGAGTACGGATCTCCTCAATGCCTGGTGGCTGAAGTTTTCTTTTTCTAAATATTCTGTGAGGCACATAGGCTTCTATTCGATTTGAATAAATGCTCCAAAATAAACAAGTAGCTAAATAAGGAGA